TTATTATTAATCCATCTGAAGTATAGAGTAAAACAATTTTCAAGACACAGAGCTATTCACAACACTACAAACAAGATTGCTGCAAGACGTATCCCTCTACAATAAATAATTCTAGAGATATAGAGCGTGACAGACAGAAACTATACTACACAGATATATATTATAAATTATGATTTTTATTTAAGATGCTACTGTATAAGATTTTGTATTGTAATAACGCTCGAAATTTATCACAAAAATACAGTAATTTAATTATTTAGCCATTAAATCTTTATAGTGTTTTATAATATATTAATACATTACGCGTATTTTTACAATTAATTAAGATAATTAATTAAATAATTTTATAGTTAAACCTGTCTAAACGGTACCCGAATACCCGAATAAACCTGTACGAAACGGTAACCTTCCAAACCAGAAAAAATATTCGGTATCGTGTAGTTCCGTTTTACACAGGTATTAATAAGATATTTTATATCAACCTTCGTGCATTTTCTACATACAATAAAACCTGTGTAAAACGGAACCGAATATATTTACGGTTTAGTAAGTTTCCGTTTCGAACAGGTTTCTTTATAACATAAAAAATCGCACAGTTCCGAATAATGTTCTCCTCCTAGGCAGGTTTCCGTTTTATTCAGGTTTACTGTATTTTTTCCCTATTAGGCAAGTTTCCGTTTTGAGCAGGTGTTTTCTTAGACATAAAAAATCTCTCCGTTTTGAAACATTTTTCCTTTCGTTTCATGCAGGCTTCGTTTTAGAAAGGTTTTACTGTAATAAATTTACTTTTTAACGTAAAGAATTTTGAAAAATATATTTTAAAATGCTATAGATTGATAAATTTCTATAACAAGATGCACATATTTATGCACTTCTTCCATATGTATAATTTATAGATGATATATGGATTTATTCCTCATTCTACTAGCTTTATTTACTATTTTACCATAACATTGTTTGACATTGCGTGTAAAAACCATTACAATGGGAATGCAAAATACATTTTATTCTTGTTTCCTCTTCCTGTATACGTAATAAATTCTAAACTTTCTAACTTATATACTCCTTTACGTAACATCTAAATTAATGTATTAATTAGTCATGCCTACATCTGCTATATCAGCAATTATCTTACTCGAGGACAAACATAATTAACTGTATAGCATAATACTGTTTATTAATAAATTAATCATACATAGATGATATTTATATTTATTAATTAAAAATTAACTCGTATCCTCTAATGAACTCTCATAATTTGATATCCCGCTCATAATTTTATAAAATACTGTATAATAGTTTAGTGCAGTAATACCTGTCCGAAACAAACCCTAAACCTGTCAGAACGGAAAAAATTCTTCGGAATGAAGGGATTTATTTGTTTAAAAAAACCTGTTTAAGACGAAAACCTACCAAATCTGAAGAAATATTCCATACGTGTAATATTCCGTTTTACACAGGTTTTACTGTATATACTTATCACTATGAAGGTGATGAATCTTAGGAGGGTATTTCTTACGATAATTATTATGAATTTACTCATAAATTAAGTGTAAATTCTTAGAGCTCTAAGAGTTTAGAACCGAAAAAGAGCCTAAAAGTATATAGCCTGATAGCCTAAGTAACGTAATTTCAATTCAAACCCCCAAATAGATGACCCTCATAGCTCTGTTGTTATCAGGAAAAGTATGATGTACAGGGGCAAGAAAGACTATTAAAACCGAGAGCATATATTTTAAAAATTTCCGTCAGGCATTGTGACGGTGTCATAATAATTTTTGCTCGTTATTTAATGGAGTGAAAAGGCCTTTTATATGTTGAAGAATAAAATTTAGGGCCTCGCCAGATTACAGTTTAAGAACTTCTGCTTTTAAATGGAAGGAAAGGGCCTTTCATACGCTTTTATAGATTTATAACTTAACTTTATTTATAGATACAGTAAAACCTATGTAAAACGGAATCGTAATTTGGCAGGTTTCTGTTTTAAACAGATTTTGTAAAACAGAAAATTGCTCGTTCCGAAGTTTTTTTTTTTTTTCATTTAGACACAGGGTTTTGTTTTATTCATGTTCCGTTTCGGACAGGTTTTACTATAATGATTTTCCATTTCGTTATACACATTTTAATTTCTTTTTTAAATGTACAAAGTATCTTAAATTAAGCAGAAAAATAAAGGGGAAAAAATAAACTTTTGTACTTTCTAAACGTAAAAAGAGAGGAAGAAAAAAAAAAACGAAATGAAATGAGAGAAGAGATCAGATTATTTTATTGATATTGTAATCTGTTATTTAACAAAATCAATTTTTTTTAAAAGTAAGAGCACAGCTTTTAAAAATTATCAAATCGATAATAAACGACGTTCGAAGGAAAAAGATGTAATTTAATCCAAGATTTAATTTCCAGCTGAAGATTTAAAAAGCGATTATGCAAAATAAACTGAGAGGAAACCATTTTACTTCCACTTTAATCTCTTTTAGAAGAGTTTCGATAGTCGAAGTTTCTGCCAAAAAATAAGAAAAATGGATCTAAAATCCAACCATTCGAAAGAAAACTATATATATATATATATATAGTTTTTATTGCAGTAAAACCTGTCCAAAACGGAATGTTAATAAAACAAGAACTTGTCTAAAGTTCTTCAAAACGAAACGATTTTCTATGTTTAAAAATCTATTCATAATAGAACATAATTTAAACAGAAACCTCTCTAAACGGGATGTAAATAAAACAGAAACCTGTCTAAAGGAGAACATTTCTTCAAAGCAGAGTGGACATACAGTAAAGTTTGGCAAGTTTCCGCTTTAAACAGGTTTTACTGTATTTAGCTTTNTTCAATTTTAAGTATCTTCAAATGCTACAAATACTTAAGATGATGTCAACAAGTTTATATTATAATATTTTAAATTAGAAGTTGGTTTCTAGACGGGTCGTATGATAAATTTGAAACACGATAATCTGATATTTAACAAAATCAAAAGAATATATCTCATTGTATAGTCAAGGTATCAAACGAGATACGTTTGATACGAGATACTTTTGAAAATAGGATATTGTTATTCCGTTCTTTGTTGTTACTGGTGTTATCTTCAACATTTATGTAAATATTAAAGTTTTATAATATTATATATAACAACAAAATGCAGGAAAGAGTAAAGAATTACTTCTTCCCGCTGTAGGATCAAAGACATCTTTACTCATCACTAGCTTAACCATGCTCTTTCATATTTATCTTAACCTTATATTTTGGAGGATTTGAAAATATTTAACGTAAAGTTGATCCTTTCTTGATAAATTTTCAATAGATTTTTCAAAGTATTATGCGTATTAAAGCGTTAAATTTCGAATTTTTAACTCTACAACAATTTTAGAACATTTGAGTGGTGGTTTTTGTTGTTGTATCTTTTAAAGCTTTTGGTGAACTTTGTGTTCATCTTTAACACAAAAGAAACTATATTAAATTTTACAAGTCACAAACAGAGATTAAGTTCTTCTAATCAAGAAAATATGTGGATAATGTTTCCTTGTAGACGATCTGTATCATGATTACTGATCAAGTGATGCCACTAAAGATGCTGCATTGATTAATTAACAAGAGGCTACACATGTTACGCTCATTACGGTCCAGACCCGCAATGGAGTTGAATAGCTGGAGAGAAGAATAGAGAACAGTGCATCAAACAGCACCTCACATGTATAATGGGAATTTGGTTCGAATCTCGATCCCCATTGCAGTAAATTATAACTGGATTGGATTGATGAGATAAGCCAGAGAATGCTTCCCAAAGAGGAAATCTAACCTAAGTCACAGGAAACTGACTCCCATTTAAGCATGTGAAATAAACCCAGAAAATTCCAGGTAGCAAGCCCGTTGGCCAGGAGCGAACTCAAGTGCAGTATACACTGATTTTATCCACTCGGCTACTGGTGGTGGGTATTTTGAACTGTTTGTCTACTCATCAATAGCGAGGCTTTACACATTTTTGGAGTTATAATAATGGCCCAAAGTATATACTTTTAGTTTATTTCAAAATATAGCGGAAAAGTTTTTCTCTAAATGGTTCAAATCCTAACATATAGATTTGCTCGAATATAAAATGATCACCAATCTACAGCATTTTTCATCCAAATATAATACCTACAGTCTTATACACGAAACTGATAATCCACTTTAAATTTTACAGGACTTTATTATAAATAAAATACTCCAAGGAAGTTTTCCTACAGGAATTCTAGTGTACTTTAAGCGAACCATCAAAAATTGACAAAGAGTCATCCTTTATAGAGTTTAACTACTTCCTTCATCAATGAATGCAACAAATCATTAAATATTTAAATTTAATTTATTGTACAGTTCTTGGTTTTGTTTATCTTTTTCTGTATTTTGTATGTATTGTAAACATTATTGTTCAAATAGTTTCTAAACAATTAATAAAGCCAGTGCTGAGTGGATTAAACCACTAAACAGTTGTCAGGAGGCCACTGTTTTCTTAACGTGTGTAACACCTAAATAGGAGCCTGTTTCTTACATAAAGTCCTCTGAAATCTTTGGTAGATCGCTCACGTGTTGCATTACCTTATCACATCAATCCGGTATTCTGGCCTTTGTGAAGTGAACCAGCAGAAATTTAACACAACCATCTGCAAACTGATATATGCCCTAAACTACTGTATATTATTTCTGCCCTGTGGGCACTAAGCTTTTTGAGGGTGACAATGGAGCGACTGGGTTGTGAGGAACTAGACCCAACCACCCCCCGAAAATTTTCTGGAATTTTTGATTCCCAGAGCCATAGGTTAACGCCTAAACCGTTTCGTTGCTGCAGGATAGTTTCAACTTCATATATTTTAGTGGTTTAGCAAAATTAATTTTATAAATAAATATTATAGATAATTTAGAAAGATGAAGCAGCAGAAATGGGCATTATACCCATTTTAATATCTTCTTTTACTACATTCTCCTTATTATCATTTGAGAATTTATGTGTTGAATGTATGTTTTAATCATTCACTATTAAGGTATATCGCGTGTCTGAGAAAATCTGAGCCACTAACCGTAAATTTACAAGCATTAAAATACCTCCCTTGGGTCACTAAACGCCATCTTCCATCATATTTACTCTGTCTCCATCTATCGGCAGTGTATATAACTAACACAAGAATGGACGAAGGACAACGAACAGAACTGCCAGCTCGCAGGAAGGAAAGATAAAAATACAAATAGCTTTTGTTTATGCAAGAGGAAAGCCTTAATCACTTTTAAAATGATAAATAAAAGAAAAGTTTCTTCTGAAAACAATGGAAGCGCCTGGACGGTGCCAGGGAAACAACGACCACGTATCCGGTAGATGGCGCTGTGCTAGAGGGATTAATTAGTCATGTGGTCGAGAAGTCGAGACGGAAAGAGGATGAACTATGGGTCAAATTTTAGCTTATAGTGAACCGTGAAATGTATATAACCCCGTTTCTCGGTCAGTTTACTTGGAGGAACTGTTGATCTCAGCGCTTCTCGACATTATTCTTAGGATTTATGGCGCCCTAGAAGTCTCTTTCACATAAAACTTGGATCGTTGCGCTCAAAGAGCTGACTACGCGACATCTTTATAGCGGGTTAGGGTTGCTGCCTTCTCAACCTTAGACCCTGAATTTTCCAATGACGAGAGCATGTCATTCGGCGAATTTCTTTGCTGAAGGAATGCTTTTTTGAGGTTGCAACACGAGTGTCGTGGTGGAATACCACAAAATTCCAAAGGAAATGGAACACTTCCGATGGCACATGTTGGAATGGTCAAAAGTCTCGTCAAGACGATTGATAAAGTTGCGGTGATGGATTGGGAGGATTTTGATGTATGACACTACCACTTGACTCTGTACTAAGTGAGGTTTTTTAAGGGTGCCATACTTGTCACTTTCTCGATATGACAGGATTTTTCGGGTACTATAGTTATAATTTAGTTCTTCCGGGGAAATATTTTTAAACATCTGACTGCGATCCGTCGTGTCTTCTGTACACGTATCGATCGAATGGTGAGTAACACGCATAGAGATTAGAAAGACCAGCGGGCGATGATCACCAAAACACATCAACAAAGGCAAAAATTCGTGATTAATCTTTAATATTCTTACAAAATGTAAGGATTATCTTTAAAGAATAAACATATGATCCCGATGATGATTCGTTATAATAATTGAGGAAGAAAAGTGACTTACCAGTTGGCACTCGAACCATATAGGTACTATGAAGCAGTTGGCTGGTGACACCCGTTCCACACAGAAGAAGAGAAAGGAACTGTCCCAGGATAATAGCTTTCCATACTTCCCTGTATAAAATTAAAAAATCTATAATTAATTTCTCAAATGTGAAATTTGAATGTAAACATGTGAATTGGAGAGAAAACCACAACTCTTTGCAATCCTTCTGTTACGCAAACCGTAATCGTTAGCATTAATTAAAGTAAATACTTTGAGGAAGATGATATAACCACGTAAAACTGACTATTTTGGAGAGCTTCCAGTCATCACCTTAGCAAGTCGTGACAATAAACAGATGCGCTCGTTTCCACAATATCGACACGCTTTCAAACACCAAACTGGTGATGTACTCTAAAACTTTACAGTAAAATGGTATAAATAAGAACACTTTATTACACCCAAAAAACATAATTCTAAAATATATTTCCTAGTTGAAGGAAGAATCGAATACCCAAAACAAAAGGACGTAAATGAACCTGTTTGCCACTTTCGTGCTGTTAGATGGTTTTCGTTACTGTAAAAGAGTACAATAATATTTATATTATAGGACAAAATGGTCATTAATTAAAATTAGCAGTCATAATCGCCATAATAAGCTATGAAACTTGTAGATATTAGTTGCTGCTAGAAGATATTCATTGATCCAATGGATATCTTCTAGAAGCAACGATCGTAAAACAATTAGTTGCGAGTTAATGCTCACCAGTTAATACGCGAACGACCCATTAATATTGGCCAGAGCGTTAGACATCTGGCATTTTATCTCCCTCTAACGAAACGATTCATCTAACAGCTAATGCACCTGTTCTTCAGCATCACGGGACTGATCAGCATCGAATACTTGCTAGCAGATGTCGATATTTATGGATGAAAATATTGCTCCTATACTGCACAATGCTCTCTTTTGTCTTCCTTCCCTCAGTTATTTGTGCTAGACTTGACAAGTTAGATGACATTCGAGTCAATCGATGCATCGACGTAGCCAATTTAGGGAATATTCCTGATAGACGGGACGTGTCAGCAAACAGAAGCGTAACCAAAAAAATCTCTCGTTAAGAGCGACAGTACGACAGATTCTTGGTAATTAGCCACAGAGACGTCATTACAATCTCTGTAATTAGCCAGAGTATTTACTTGTAGAATCCCATCCCCGGGGCCACTTCTAATGGATGCTGTGTGTTTTACAGTACGTATTGAAACCATCCCCGCATTCGTTTCTCCACCTTTCTGCAATCACAGACATGACAACTTATCGAATGTAGGAAGGGGTGACTTCCAATGTCGTTAAGCGTGTCATCTCCCGCCAAAAGCACTTGTTTAGATTGCCCGAGGCATAATACTTTGTGTCGTCTCCTGTAGGATGAGATGTAAATACTCTCAGATGCTCTCAGTCTTTTGTTATCCAAAGAATCTTGAATCTCTACGCACCAACGATTAATTTTATTGACACAATGCTGGTGAATCAGCAAATTGTAAGTCTCTCCATACCTTTTTATATGGGAAAATGCAAATACAACTGGATTAATGTGATTGGAGATAATGAATACACACGCAGAAAACTAAATCCGATTTAAAGCGTGACTCAGACGTAACAATTTATATTTATTGATCTGTACTAAAGCTAAATGAGCCAATTTTATAGTGAAAATTGCCATTTTTCATGCAAGAATATCATAAGTAAAAGGATCATACGATCAAGGATATCCAACTCGAGTGAATCCGGATCATCCCAAACGATTAACTTCTATTGACAAGTTGATCCTATTTTTATGCTAAGAGATTCATTTCAACGGAATAATTACAAGATTTATCTTAAATTAAAACAATTTTCAAGCATAAATTGTACAGAATATTTTTGTTCTTCCCTCCAGCGTACTGTTATCCATGTTGAGATATTCGTTTTCTTGTAAAGAGAAATTAATAGCTTACCTTAATGGCAAGAACAGCAAATTACATTAGTCTTGGATGCGTGTTATACTAGCAGCGCAAAGACTTGCCGATGTTTTATTGTCAATTAACGTCTGATGTCACTCGATTGGTGTCTACACACCAAGGAGACTATCCGGCTGGTCGCCAAGCTGGCGGACAATGACAGGAAATGATAATGTACCGTCGGTATGAGGTTGTCATCTGGTACATCTGCAGAAACATAGTTTATCACCTTGTTAAAGGAGCTACTTCGACGGCTCCTTTCTCAACTGACTTATAGTCTATATGTTGCATTCCACACACAATGAGATATTCGCATCTATGCATTCTTCTAGGTTATCGATCGTGTTGTAAGAAGACTTGCAATTCAGTTTCTACTATAACTATAACGAGTAATATTATTAATGTTTCTGGTATAATCCAACTGATTCTATAATTTACGAGCTACATATTAAATATCACGTATAAATGAACATATATTTGCAGAGCATAGATAAATTCCAGGTAAAATAATTATTAATTTAGCGACTCGATTTTTATGACAAAATTATTAAATAAATAATTGTCTTGAAAATAAAAGATTTCAGTAGACGTTTGGGAAAGACCCTAAACATTCATAGGATAATTCTAAAACATATTTTTAATGAAGCAATTTGATTTGCAAAGGAGGGTCATTCAGGAGGATGATTATCAATTATGTTATATTATGTTGTATGTAAATTTAAATGATTAATATATGGCACATAATTATGTTATATTATAGAAAACAGATATAAATACATTAATTTTAATTACCTGGAGATAAATTTATGTGTAAAAGAATTCAATTCAAAAAATTTTTTGAATTTGAAATATTATAAGTTTCTTCTTGCATATATTAAGATAAACTACTTGAAGTTTAGATGCATATTTTAAGTCATGTTTTCCACCTAGATACATGTTTTTTCTCACTGTTTCACATTCTTCCTCCCTTCTTTTTGTTATAACGTAGCTGTTTTCCAGAAAGGAAAATAAGATTTTCTTGTTATCCGTGAAGTTTTTATCCTGCTTTTTGTCTCTTCTTTAAAAGTGGTTGCTGAAAAAAGATGTAATCAATAGAATAAAGATAGAATAAACTGTATAAAGCCACCATTTTTGGCATCTCATTTTTATATTTCCGTATTAAGTTTACAAAGTGGCATCCAGACTTATATTAAAGACTCCATATCATGCGGAATATATGCATACAAATGTACAAAAATCTAATAATACTTTTCATAACTTTCATAAACCTTTATAGACATATAAACACAATGAAACTGTTGAGTCGCAAAGTGCTTCGATAGCTCTGGTATTGAAACATGACACGAATACTCTGTGAATTTACAATCGAATATTTTACCACTTTTAACCAAAGAATATTGGGAGTGATAAACAGTTTTACAATCCTTTCTTTGTATTTAATTTTCTTAGAGTGTGTCCTAGATTTTTAATACAAGATTTCAATCATAAAAAGCTTAAAAGTATACGAGTTCAACTTACTTTAATCATACTTCGCACGTAAGTATAGTTCATTACGAACTGGTTTTGACTGAATCTAATCCTTTAAAATAATTAAACTGCTTATTAAGTATATAAAATTATTATCTAAATCGCATTGAAGGTACAAATACATAGATACAAAATTAATAATGCTCTTTAAGAAAAGTTAATTCATCCCAGCTTCATCCCTATTGAAGATGCTCTTTCAGAAGAGTTAATTCATTCAGTTTCATTTCTATTAAAAGTACTAAATTAGTTAAATCAATACATCTTAGCTTTATCCAGGTTCACATGAAACAGGAAAAATCCCAAGTGATTCACACGAATTAAAGTACTGTACCTTCAATATAGAAATTGTTCACGTTTCCTTTATAGACTCAAGTTATATATTTAATATATTTAATTATTGATCAATTCTTCAAAATATAATTACATAAGAAATTAATTTCAATTATTCGAGTAAAGATTAGGAAGACCTTATATAAGCGAGAGAGAAGAGAGAGAGTAAAGAGAGAATAATTGCCTGTTATTTAGAAAATATAATGCTCCATTGGGGGATATGTCATCAACTTTCATGAATAATTCCATTAAGATTTAGCAATGAACCATTAGAGAAGTTTGTGTGTAAAACAGTGTTTAATTGTTGCATATATTAAGTAAGTTTCCTAGGAGCTGGTGAGGTCAACTACCTGATCTTTAGAGACTCTATGCAATATATTTAAGTCATAATAACTTAAATATTTGTTTATATAAGTTATAAATTCGTAAAATATTTACTATTAATTAATTTATATTTCAAACTAAAGATATGTTGTTGAGGCGTAATGCAATTTTTGATAATTTACACCAGAAGTATACTCTTAAAGCTAGAATGATTAAGTAAATACTAATTACATATTCCTCCATTAAAATCATAATTTTGTATAAAATTAAGGTATATAATCAACTTTAACACAGAAGAAACAAGTTATTTTACGTTAGAATGCACAAAAGATAATAAAATCAATGATGGAAGAGGTTGAAGATGATGCGTAAGGAAGCTGGAAGGGCGTATGCGTAATAAAAAGCAAATAAATATTACTAAAATACTTTATAAATTTTTATATAATGGTTGAGAAAAAGTATAGGCCTATAATTTAAACAAAATAATTGATATGTAATAATCAATAACGATGGTTCAGAGTGTTTAATAAAAGTGATGATAATGGCATGTATATCAATTTTAGAGGTTCGTATATATGTAAAAATATCAGAATTCTAAATCCTGGATGATAGTTTTTGGCCTTTAAAAACATTAGTAAAGGTCAAAAACTAGAGAAGTATATTGAAAAAAGGATAAAGATTGCTGTAATGAACATAGAAGAGATTAAATAAATGACTGAATATCGAAATAAATGACTTCCTTCTGTATTCATATAAAATTTCATGATAAAATGTGAGTAGAAAGAGGTTGTTACATTAGTCTAACAACTGTACATTTATAGGTAAAGTAATTATATTCCTTTTTTTATTTTCTCTGCGAGAAGAAACGAGAATTGTATTGTTACTTATCCATACCACATTCTTCTGAATAAGATACAAAAAAGATTGTTATCTCGTGCCATTACACTCCAGACTT